CATTGGATCAATTGATGATTAAATGTGAAGACAATAAAACCTTTGTTGAAAAACTCATCGCCGAAGACAGTCATCGAGAGTCGAGTGAATCCACGAAAAGACAATCAATAGATGAGTCAATAGAAAGAGTTATCCGCAAAAGCAGACAAATGAAACTAAAACTCATTAAAAAGCGAGTAATCCGTAAACCAGTGGTTAAAGTCATTAAATCAGACCTTAAGAAGACTTCACACAAGACTAACACTAAAACAAATGCCAAACAAATGAATGACAACAACGAAGACATGAGTGAAGAGTCGGACGAGAGTTCTGACGAAGAATTGGGCGAAGAATCAGATAATAGTTATGTCGAAACGAAGACATATAAACCGACCAAAAAATACAAATGGGCTAAAAGTGGTTTAAAATCGAGTCCTCTTCTGATTCCAGATTCCAATGAAAGACAGAAAATGTTTGATTTGAACACAAATTCATACAAATGTCCGAAAATTGAATGTCAGAAGACTTTTGAAACGGACGCCGGATTTCGTAGCCATTTGAATAGTCATCTGTTTAAATGTGGATACAATGGATGTGATAAAGAGTATGGAAATAGAGTTCACTTGAGAAAACATGAAATGACCGCACATTCAAGTGATAAACCATTTAAATGTGATTTCAATGGCTGTCAATATGAAAGCCGATCCACAGAACTCTTGCGTAATCACATCCAGACTCACAACACAAACAAATTTGTTTGCGATTACGCGGGTTGTGAGAAGTCATTCAGGAGTTGCGGAGGTCTGGATGATCACCGGCGCAGACACGCCATTGAACCCACATATAAGTGCACTACTGATGGATGCGACGAGAAGTTTGTCAGTAAATTCCAACGCCGTAAACACGAGGTCGCAGTTCATAGCCGTAAGCCATTTGTTAAAGCCATACGTCGGTGCGATTGGCCGGGATGTGATTATGAGGGTAAATATCTACATAAACACATTCTGCAACACACGGGTGAGAAGCGATTCCAGTGTTTATGGCCAGAGTGTGGCAAACGGTTCGGTCGTATCGACAATTTTAAATACCACATGAATATTCATAATAACGTTAAGCCGTATGTGTGCTGTTGGCCCGGATGTACACACAGTTACGCACAATTAGGCAATCTTACGGCACACGTCAAGAGATTTCACACCAAATAAACAATTTATTTGTTTGAAATTTACATTAAATTAAATTAATTAATGAGAAATCTTTATTTAATTCAATAAACTTATGAAACATTATTAACTATTGTTTTAAACCGTGTTTTAAAATTTAGTGCAATTAATACAGAATTAAATGAACAGTCAATCGGTACGAGTGATTGAGCTATTATTTTATAAATTAAAACTTAATTTTATTTAAATTGATATATTTATCCAAATAATCAAAAACTTTATTGAAGTTTGTATTCAAAGCGAACGTAATTTTTTGTGACTTAAAGCATAAGAATCTCAAAAATCAATAAATGTTTTGATGTTTTTGTTTCATTTGTTTTGACATAAATTGTGGTTTAATTTAGATTTAATTATAATTAAAAGTATTTATAACGTAATAATGGATTCAATGATTAGTGAAAAGTCACTCAATATTAGTATTAATGATATTTTGTGTGAATTAATGGTTGAAAACAAACGACTTTTAAATGAGTTATTGTTTGCAAACAAATGTTTAAATCAATTGNGTGAATTAATGGTTGAAAACAAACGACTTTTAAATGAGTTATTGTTTGCAAACAAATGTTTAAATCAATTGAAAACACATTTAAATAAAATTCACTCAAAATATGAAACACTTATCGATTGTGAAGACAAACAACACTTTGAGGTATTGTCTCAACCATTGGATGAATTGATGATTAAATGTGAAGACAATCAAACCTTTGTTGAAAAACTCATCGCCGAAGACAGTCATCGAGAGTCGAGTGAATCCACGAAAAGACAATCAATAGATGAGTCAATAGAAAGAGTTGTCCGCAAAAGAAGACCACTAAAACCAAAGCCCATTAAAAAGCGAGTGATTCGTAAACCAGTCGTCGAAGACATTAAACAAGACTTTAAGAAGACTTCAGACAAGACTAACACTAAAACAAATGCCAAACAAATGAATGACAACTACGAAGACATGAGTGAAGAGTCGGACGAGAGTTCTGCCGAAGAATTGGGCGAAGAATCAGATAATAGTTATGTCGAAACGAAGACATATAAACCGACCAAAAAATACAAATGGGCTGAAAGTGGACTAAAATCCAATCTTACTCTTTTGATCCCAAATTTCAATGAAAGACAGAAAATGTTTGATTTGACCACAAATTCATACAAATGTCCAAAAACTGAATGTCAGAAGACTTTTGAAACCGACGGTGGATTTCGCAAACATTTGTATAATCATTTGTTTAAATGCGGATACAATGGATGTGATAAACAGTTTATAAATAGACATTACTTGAGAAAACATGAAATGACCGCACATTCAAGTGATAAACCATTTAAATGTGATTTCAATGGCTGTCAATATGAAAGCCGATCCACAGAATACTTACGTAATCACATCCAGACTCACAACACAAACAAATTTGTGTGCGATTACACGGGTTGTGAGAAGTCGTTCAAGAGTTGCGCGGGTTTGGATGATCACCGGCGCAGACACGCCATTGAACCCACATATAAGTGCTCATCCGATGGATGCGATGAGAAGTTTGTCAATAAATTCCAACGCCGTAAACACGAGGTCGCAGTTCACGGCCGTAAGCCATTGGTTAAAGCCATACGTCGGTGCGATTGGCCGGGATGTGATTATGAGGGCAGTTATCTGCATAAACACATTCTGCAACACACGGGTGAGAAGAAGTTCCAGTGTTTATGGCCAGAGTGTGGCAAACAGTTCGCACGCGTCGACGCGTTTAAAGCACACATGAATATTCATAATAACGTTAAGCCGTATGTGTGCTGTTGGCCCGGATGTACATATAGTTACGCCAATCTTCACGCACACGTCAAGAGATTTCATACCAAATAAACAATTAAAATACTTTATAAAAATACATTAAAAATTTTTCAGTACATTCAATGCCTCCGAAACTTTATATACAATTTAAAATACATTAATTAATATTTTGATTCATTTTTATCATATGGTTTCAAATATTGATATGACTTTAACCGTTCGCCTCTATAACCAAACCCTCTCTTATCGGTCGGCATTTGTCCGCAATCGTCGATTGGCTCCGGAATACCGCTCACCGACTGACCCAAACCGGTGCCCGACTTC